GAGCAACACATCTCGAAGAACAACGGTGAGTAACCGTCTTTTCTTCTTCGAGTGCTTGCTCATATCCATTCCATTAGGTGACTCCCAAACCCAACTTAGGTGGTGGGGTCGGAGTGAGACATCTTTCCTGATAGAGAGATTGCACTACAGTGCTTGTATAAGGTGAACTGAAAATAATATTTGTTTTGTTTCTTGTTTACAGTGCAAATATGTGTAATCAAAAATAAATATATAGTGAGCACTGTACAGTTTGAATTCTGTGTTCTAATTGAAATAAATATATTTGAAAATGTAGAAAACATCCCAAAAATGAAATAAATGGTACTCTATTATTGTGTAAAGGTGCAATAAATTATGCGATTAATCATGATTAATTTTTTATCTCACCACTAATCACGATTAACTTTTTAATAACTTCACAGCCCTCCTGCCCACCACAACCATGCAGCCACCTGTAGCATGGAACAGGGTAGATGAGAGACAGGGCACACAAACTCATAACCTGTATAGGAGAGGAAGTGAGGAAGAACCCTGTCTCCAGTCAGAACAGTGGGGCATATTACAACTTTATGGGTAATTAGCTGAGATGTAAATCACCCAAAGTGACATAGATAGGAACCCCAAACATCATAAAGGTATCCTCGAGAGGCTACAGGATCCACTCAACCGCAAATCCCACAGATGGGATCTATGATTACCCCGCGCCCCATTGTGCTGTAGCCAGGAGGGTCTCTCACAGAGGAACAAACACTGCTCCCTGCAGCACAGACCCTAAGTGGTATGCTGGGGCACTGGCCCAGTGCTGACTTTGAGGGGACAGCACCCCCTCCTGATCCCCCATCCAGCTCCCTGGAGTACAGCCATCTAGAACTGTGAGGGGAAATGGGGTCAGCAATGATACCATGGGAAGAAAGACACTTACTTTCCAAAATGACTCCTTACAGTACTGGCCCGTAGCACCATGCTGGGGCACTGGGATCAGCGCTGACTCAGACAGGCGAGCTTAATCTCTCCTGAAAGCTTCCCAGCCCCTTCCCTGCACCACCCACAGTGACGTGATGGATGCAAGTTACCTGAGCACACAACACCGGCATCTTCTCTGTGGTTACAGTTGTTGTCTCCCCAAGGCCGAGCTCTGCAATCGGAGAGGGCAGCTTCTGTCCCTGTGCAGTTGACATCATCCAGCCAGATACGGTCAGAGCCTTGCCCAAATCGAGCCCTTCTTGGGGCTGATAACGCCGTCCCACAGCCCAGCTGCCTGCACACGACTCCAGCATCCTGTAGGTCCCAGCTGTCATCACACACGGTTCCCCACTTCTGGCTGTGAAGCACCTCGACCCTCCCAGCGCAGCGACTTGGGCTGTTCACCAGTCGGAGCTGAACCACTTCTGATATGCCAGCATCTGCAAACAACCAAGGGAATAAACTCTCAGTGAGGTTCCTGTGCATCTGATCTCTCATTTCTCTGGTGAACGTAGCGTCTCCCGCCGATGGATCTGACCGGTCTCTGCACACAGCCACTGCCTGTCAAGGGCTCCTCACCACTGACCAGGCTAATCACTTGGGCAATGTTGAAGTTTGTTCACTCCCCTCCCAGCCAGCTGTCACCTACTTAGGCTTTCACCTAGTTAGGCAGACTGGACGGCAGTCTGACCTACTGCTCCTATTAGAGCACTTATAAAGATCACCCCCCACACTGCTGGCAGGAACCTCCTGGGGAGCAGATTTACACCCTCACTCCTGGCGCTGGTATTCGCTGCAGTGCTGTGGGGCATACGGTGGGATAAGCATCTTGATAACTGGGAGCTGAGCACAGTCACCCATGTCATTAGTGGTTGCCTTAGCCTGACATCAGCATCTAATTTACATGTGCTGGCTCCATAGCTCCCTGAAAACCTCACCCAGAGTCCATCCCCCTTAGAGCTGCCTGGAGCACAGGGATGCCTGGCAGGAACCTGCTGCGCACCAGGCTGACAATGGTTCCGACCAGGGCAGAGGCAATGCACACTTCCTACAAGCAGATCGGCCCCCTCCTGAAGCAAACACCTGCCCCTGCGGTTCATCTTGACTTGCCACGACTGACTTGGCAACATCGTTTTTTGTCAGCCATTGCTGCACTCGTGTCTAGTGCTGCCAGCCCAGTACCAGTCTCAGATGAATGATGACAGAGCTGGGCTGGATTTTCAGAAGCCCTAACTTGTATCTGGCCATTTAGAACCTGGTATGCAGATCCTGGGCTACGCTTAATGGGCCCCTGTCTGGACTGGAAAAAGGAATTGCTACAATGCAGAAATTTGGCTTAGCCTGATCTTCTCAGTGTGCCTGAGGGGCAGCAATACAGACAGTCACACATGGTGGAGGAGAGCCCCGTTAGAAGACTGGACCTTGAGGATGCACAGTCAGATGGCTGAACAAGCTAGAGGTAAGCAAGGTGGGAATGAGCTCTCCCCTGATAGTGAGTGATGAGCTGGGGAGGGGGGTAGGCTTCAGGAGCAGACGGTATTTGCAAAACACAGCCACTCTGCCTAGGTATCCAGCAGACAGAGCTGTTTTGGCTGATGCTGGGTTACAATCACTGTAGTACCTGAATGCAGCGGTATGAAATATTGTTGTCCTGATTGTCTGAGTAAAGGGCAGCAGCAATGTGCTTAGCCTGCCCTGACTGATGGGGTCATCCACAACTGAACTGAACTCACTAACCAGGGGGCTCAGACACCAAATCCCTATGAAGAGTGAGAGGGGTTGGAGATAGGTGTTCCTGCTGAGGGGTGTGCAGTCTGTGTAATCCAGGTTACAGGTCAACTACCTCCACCTACCAACCAATATCCTCTCAAATCTGAGGCCGTGGATGCAGAAGGTAACATTATTCATTCTTTACTTCAGCGAGGCACACTGGTTTCCCGTTCCTAGATGGTTCATAATTATTTAAATTCCTGGACTAACAGGGGGTACCTCACTTCATTCAGTACCCCTCTTAAAAATGGGGGGTATATTACAAATTTATTGGAAGCAATCCAAAAACCATCCAAAGTGGCTGTAGTCAAAATCAAGGCACATACCAGAAACAATGACCCCTCTTTCCCTTGCAAATACAGCCACAGACAAGGCGGCTAAAGAGGTTGCCACAATGCCCCAGGACAATTTCCAAGTAGCAGCCACCCAAATAATTAATTTAAAGCAAATTTCTCTACCTGAGATACAAGAGCAATGTCCGAAAGAGGAAATATGGACATGGATTAAAAATGCCTGCAAAACTGACAAAACCAACACGTGGGTCTCAGAATGTTGAAAACCGAAGGACAGAATGTCAATTTACAAATACTCCTCTAGAACAAACAAACCATTCTATTTCCAGGGCCTCGGATGGATCAGTCAAAATTCACAACGTTTATAAGGCCGCTAATGGGTTGGGAGAGTATCGGCGTGAATGTTTGTGGGAGAGTTGGGTACTTTTTATTAACCTAACAGTTGGGACCAGCTACAGTTTCTAATGCACCAATATGTTATTCGGGCCGGCACAGCCAAAAGACAGAATCGTAGTATCTTAGGTAATATTGGAGGATTTTTTGGAAGCACCAATTCTATACTAAATACGCTTAACCTAAACTCTGAGAGGTCATACAATTCTTGGGTCAAAAGCCAAACCACCCAAGCCCTTAGACATACTAACACAGGTTCATCCTATGCTCTTATTGCAATTGATGTAGCAATAAAGGATTTTTACAAAATCATTAAAAAGACTTCAGACGCTACAGTCAACCTGGCCAAGTCACAAGCTAAAGGCCGTGCTTGTAATATGCTGGCTCGTGGCCTATTTAACATTGCAAGAGAAGACCTGCTAGATGTATGCCTGGGTTTCCCCCCTTCCCATACCCTTTCTTCCCCCACCCTTGCCCACATTGCAAGCGTTTCCACTCAATTGATAGTGGCCTCTTTACTTCATAAGAACGTAAGAACTGCCGTACTGGGTCAGACCAAAGGTCCATCTAGCCCAGTATCTTGTCTACCAACAGTGGCCAATGCCAGGTGCCCCAGAGGGAGTGAGGCAATGATCAAGTGATCTCTCTCCTGCCATCCATCTCCACCCTCTGACAGACAGAGGCTAGAGACACCATTCCTTACCCATCCTGGCTAATAGCCGGGATCACCTCTAGAGCCCTTTTTAAATATTGGCGTTACATTAGCTAACTTCCAGCCACTGGGTACAGAAGCCAATTTAAAGGACAGGTTACAAACCATAGTTAATAGTTCCACAATTTCACGTTTGAGTTCTTCCAGAACTCTTGGGTGAATGCCATCTGGTCCCGGTGACTTGTTAATGTTAAGTTTATCAATTAATTCCAAAACCCCCTCTAGTGACACTTCAATCTGTGACAGTTCCTCAGATTTGTCACCTATAAAAGCTGGCTCAGGTTTGGGAATCTCCCCAACATCCTCAGCTGTGAAGATTGAAGCAAAGAATCCATTTAGTTTCTCCGCATTGACTTTATCGTCTTTAAGTGCTCCTTTTGTATCTTGATCATCAAGGGGCCCCACTGGTTGTTTTGCAGGCTTCCTGCTTCTGATGTACTTTAAAAACATTTTCTTAGTACCTTTGGAGTTTTTGGCTAGCCGTTCTTCAAACTCCTCTTTGGCTTTTCTTATTACATTCTTGCATTTGATTTGGCAGTGTTTATGCTCCTTTCTGTTTGCTTCACTAGGATTTGACTTCCACTTTTTAAAGGAAGTCTTTTTATCTCTCACTGCTTCTTTTACATGGTTGTTAAGCCACAGTGGCTCTTTTTTAGTTCTTTTACTGTGTTTCTTAAGACTTAACACTTCCTCCAAACTCACCCTTCTCCTTTAATTTCCTTTAATTTCCTCCTTTTGTATCCCTCTGTTATTCCTACTCAAGTGTTTTCTTCTTCTTTCTGTTTTAAGTCTATTGGATATGTAACTAACAATACAATGTACAAAGTAGGGCTGTCTGAATACCTGGCACCATCCCCCCCAATCCCATACTAATGACAACATTGGACTGTTGCACAGAGACAAATAGCTATATCGTGTGTTCCTGTTCTTTTCTCCATACTTTAACTCCATCCTCTTCTATTGTTGTGGATGTCCTTCCTCTTATACATGCTGGACCTGCTGTGCAAGTATCCGCTACTCAGTAGTGTTTTATCACCGCTGCATCTGACTACATGTACGGACCACTGCAGTGCCAGGCAAACCCTTCCATGTGCCTGCAGATTACTGACTCATTTACCCTAGGTGATGTGCACCTCCCCGGCCATGTGTTCACTGGAATCACAACGGCTCCTCGGTGGTATGACAACCTGTATCTGGACAACACAACAATTCAACTGGCCAAGGAACTACTACTGAAAGTGGTCCTGGCTCTTGCTTTTGCATCTGCCACCGTTCATAACAGCATCACTAAAGGTGGCATCCAAGTTCAACTCTCCAATCAAACCATCACCCGACGGAAGGATCCTGTTCGTAATGCATCTTACAACCCCAACTCCTGGTAAACTGATGTACAAATAACGGCCGCTGCTGCTTCTATATTTGTGTTACTAACCTCTATTGTCATGTGCGGGTACTTGAGACACATGCTTAAAAATCTCACTATGCTTCCTTCCTTTGTCCCCTTTCCCCAACTCCACTCTTCCTCCCCTCGCCCACCTCCCTTAGGTAACCCTAAGACAGATCATGTAAACCAAAGCATTAAAGTATTGACTACATCTCCCCTGGGAGTTTGATTTGTCAAACAGGAGGGAACTGTTAGGCGAGAGTTAAAAATTCAGTTAGCAGCTGAGGCAGAAACCCACTTAACTACCAAGCAGGCCCAGGGTCAAAGGCAGCTGTAAACACTTGATAACTTAAATGGTCAGATGTCTGCCCAGTCACTCGGCCTCTCAGTAAGGAAGAACAGTACAGACCCTCCACAACTCTCCGGATATCTGTAAACACTCACCCCTACGCCAACCCCCACCCCACCCCACCCCTTCGCCTTAAGCGTAGTCATAAATAATTGATGCAATCAGGATGGTTTCTATGCGTATCTTCTGTTCCTGTCATTATGTTAAGTGTTCTCTCCCTCCCTCTCTCTCTGAAAAAATGTTTGTCACTGTAACTACATAATAAATGCAAATAGATTAATAAGAAAATGTATATAACTGGTCATTATAACATCATACTTTTGAAGCTCTTTATCAGTCTTCCTGGTTACCTCTTCAGTATTATCTGTGCTGCCTCATTCTTGGGGGAAAGAATCTCCTTGCTTCACAACGCCAAATGGCAGAGGGCACAGGGATGCCTAGAGTTATACAGGGATCCCCTGGATGAGATATATGCACAATAGTTCACCAAAGGTGGCATGTGAGGTCTCTACCAAAAGCCAGCAGCCTGCTGGTCCCTCTAATGGGCGCAAAGAAAGAGGAGAGGGGACGAGAGCTCCCTTTCACACAGGAGACAGCTGACAGTATTTCTGTCAGGAACAGGAGATCACAACCAAGCCTGGAGTAAAACCCTGGAAGGACTGTGCGGTGAGCATTGCTCAACTAGACAGAAAAGTATCTTCTTCAATGAGTCTAGGCTCTAGTCAACATGGTATAATTTTATTGGCCATAGAACCATTTCTTTCCAACCCTTCTCCTTTCTACCCCTCAAATCTCTACACTCTGTGGAGCTGGTCAGCTGGGGGCTCTGTTCCTTTGGGAGCAGTGGATCTGTCACTGCTTTGAGTGCCATTGCTGCACTCATGTCTAGTGCTGCCAGCCCAGTGCCAGTCTCAGATGAAAGAGGTTAATTAAGAC